TGGCGTTAACATTAGAGGCAATAACAATATGAGTGTCGCTAAAAGAAAACCCGGGTTTTCTTTTAGCGACACTCGTATATTGTCGAATTCATGCCGTCTGATCCATTCCCTTTTAGGGTTTGTATTACTCGCAAAGAAATGTATTAACTATATCAACCAATTTATTCTTTGTTGGTGACCCGGATATCTAACAGTGTCTATTTTCCTAGTATTAAATAAGAACATATAAAAATAAAGAAATAGAAGATTTATATTCATGATTTATGCTTTTAATATTCAGAAATTAGCATGATTTAAGTCTGTATCAACGTTTGTCATAGTGGTATTTAACTTATTAATTAATTAATAATGAATTTATGAGACAACAAAGCTTAGTGGATATAAAAAGAATTATAGACTAGGAAAACCGACATTATTATATATCCGGAGCGCTAACTAAAAATAGAAGTAAACAAATTGGTTGATATAGTTCGTTGTCCGAAGTGTAACGAGGACTCTTCTATTAGATTAAATTTGATGCAATGTTTGTCTGATTTCCTAATATATATAAGTGTCGCCAAGAGAAATGTATATAACTTGTATGGAATTTCAAAAATCAAACATAAGTAGTTCAGACGGCAACCAAAGCTAAATTCTTTTGATTATATGTACTATAAAGATATTTCTTGAAAGCCTGAATTCTGTTGTACAAAATTCTATATTTAACGACACTTATTTTAGATAAATTGATAATTATCTATCTAAAAATAGGTGCAAATATAAGGAAAATGCTGTTTATTCGTAATTTAAGAAGGGAGGAAGGGATGTTAGCGGTAATATCACGTCTATATGTTATATATAAAAACTATGATTGGCCTAATTCGATCACCAAGTGGGAGGGGGTCTGACCTTCTAATAAAAAGAAATTAGTAATAAATGGCACTCCCAAAGCTTGCACAAAATCTGGTCTATTACTTCCCATTATATTCTGCGCAATGCTCCGTATAATCAAAAACTCACTGCTGTATTATTTTATTCGTAAAAACTTTTTTATTGCAAATTAGGAAATACAATGGGTTAGCCCTAATCTTATAAATATGATGTAATGAAACTTTCTAAAAGGAACTATTTACACTAAGAATAGTTCAAGTGTGAGCGCAATGTCGTAATTGGTTAAATTATCCGTAATTCATTCTAATTACAACCATTTATTATACTGATTTCACAACTCTAATAACGTTTCTAAAATTAAATTCCAAAATTTAGTAATTCAATAGGTTCATTTATGCCGTTTATTATTTTAGTTTCCTTAACGCGGTATAAATATCGAGTAACTCCAGATTTTTCCGATATTTGTTCTACAAAATTATTTTATCAAATCCTATAAATACATTCAGTTATCGATTTTCAAATGTAATTTCGAATTATCATATTTATAATTAATTATGAACATTCAAATGCCACCTAAAACAAATAATCTCTTAACATATCGATACAACACAACTAAAGCATGTAATTCTTGCAGACACTTAAAAACTAGATGTGTAAAGGAACATCTTGATCAATCTGATAAATGTAGAGTATGCATAAAACGTAATTATGTATGCACTTATCCTCATAGCACAAAAAAACGTGGGCGCAGACCCAAGAAAGGTAATACAAATAATAAAAGAGTCGTTATAACTCCTCCTTATAATAACGAACCCTCTACTTTCAATAATGAACGCTTTACACATCCTTTCGATAATGATCCCACTACGCCTCCTTTCGATAATAAACCCACTACATCTCCTTCTGATAATACACCCACTACATCCCCTTCTGATAATAAACCCTCTACACCTTCTTCCAGCAATGAACTCTACATCTTCCAAGAGCTAATCTCAGGGGAAATAAATCTTGATAGCAACTTGTTTAAAAAGAAACAATCATAGGGCGTATTGTGAGGTATAATATAACTTCTGGTCCAAATTTATTATTTTATTTGAGCCCATCATTATTATATCGTTTTAGATCTCAAAATTTTAAAAAATCGACTTATTATCGTGATAAACCATTTATATCAGCCTTTTATCGTTTACAATTTTGGCAAAAACTTATGACGAGACGATTGATTTAAAAAAATACATTGCAGAAAATAACGCGAAAAAATCAGTCTTCGATAATGTTACGTCTTATTTAAATTGAATTTTAACTCGAATGTTAATAAGAAATAATGTTATGCAAGATTGGCACGAACTAACAATAATGAATAATTCGATTATGCATTAAGTTTTGGTTAGATAACAATAATCGTAGGGAAGCAATGGTGATATTTGGGATGACAAATGTTTTAAAATTCGATCTTAAAAATTATCTATATCATAATGGAATCATAATAATCGTCAAGAGCGTTAAAAAAGTTCGTAAACAAAATTCGTTTAAGCTCTTCGGCGATATATTATAACTATATGGTGACAGAAAGTACGAACATTTAAATAATATAAAAACGATTTAACCTTTATTTTTACCATTCTTAACCGCCGGTACTAACCATTAAAAAGGCGGGGTATGGTAGCCATGAGATTAGAATAGTGATCTGTTTTATATGTAACAATAGTTAAGTTAAATAACTTATGGTTTAAGAATAAATAAAATTTTAATAAGTATAAATTCATGTATTTAGAAATTCATTTATTTAGAAAATAAAACGATTTAATTTTATTAAAGCAAATTCCGGTTAATATGCGATGGTCAATCTATTACAGTGATTTTTCAAATACGCAGTCATTTCTCTTTTTGGTAAAAGATCTTCAATTGGAAAACATTGCAGATCACAAATGTGATAATTCAATATTCGCAATTACATAATAATCACATAGACTGGCAAACTACCAATAAACATGTATATGTTGTGCCTCAGATCGATTCTTGCCTCAGGTGATAACTGAGGCACCTCAGATGTCGATCGTCATATGAGATGCGTAACCTGTCGATCGATTACTTGAGGTGCCTCTGTTGTCACCTGACGCACCTCGGTCATAATCTGAGGCAATTAATATTTCGATTAAATAATAACAATAAACAATATATAGCAAATTTAATCAAATCATCAATTCAATGCAAGCTATAACTAATTTAACACTTATTTAAACATGAATGCCCACTGTGACATCTACTTGTACATTTTCCATCATATTTTTTACATTTACATTTATTATTATTACAAGGACCTTTACAATTACATATAACACTTGATACGGATCCAACACTTTGAAGCCTTGCCACTTCTCAAATAGACAATTTATCTGATGGGATCTTGTCGAGTTCAGGATAGATAGTAGTACCAAGTGCTTCGAGTTCGCCTGATGAATAACAAATGTTAAGTATACCAAATTTACATCCTAAGCAATATTGTTTTCCAACTTTTTCTATTATCTTGCAGGGGAGTGCGGGGCAATCGGTGCCAAATTGATCAATTTTTGGAACACTAACGTGAACCAAATCACCAACTTTAAAATCAACTAATTTTCTTTTTTTAAGCATCCTTTGGTCATATTTTCTGTATAAAGTTGTAGGTCCCGTCATGTTGTATTTCGTAACACTTCATGCCATGTAATATTAGAATGCTGGTCTGTAATATTAGCAAGGACTGGGTTTTGTTCTGATTGCGGGTATTCTAGCCAAGATTCAACGAATTCAGATCAATAATAAACAAACA